AAACGGGGAAGCAGCAAAGAGAAAGCAGGCTAAGCTGTGGACTTTTGCATGCCTGGGGGGCACAGCACTTTTGAATGTTTACAAGCGGCTTGACCATTTTGGGTATTTAAAGGACAACATTCTCCCAGATTTCAGAGACTTAAGAACAGGCTCCACTAGCACAAGGACATTCCGGAGGCAGGTAACTAGAAAGGTGCAACATTCCCCTTCTTACTCTTATATCCCACACCCTCTTGGTGAAAGGAGGGGTGACCATCCCTCACTCACACCCACCTTCTGGCCCAGTTGGAATTCCGTCATAGTCTGTGTGCTTGGAGGGAGCCTGGTAGCCCTGCCTTGCCCCAATTTTTTTTCCTGTTTTTTAGTTTATTTTCGTCTGTTTTAAAACTACTACTATTATTATTATTACTTCTGTCCTTTTTACTATTATTCTTTATTCTTCCGATCCCAGTTCTAATTTTAAGCTTTTTTTCTTTTCCCTGTTCCCGGTTGTAATTGTTTTTTCTTTCTTGGGGTTAACCCCGTTACTAATTTTTTGTTGTGTTTTTCCCATTTTTTTTCATTATTCTCCTTCTCTACTTTTTTCTCTTATTGCCCTCTCCCCAGATATTAAAGAGATGGTGTTTTGTTTATTCTTTTTCCCTTTTTTTTTTTTTTTGGTTACTGTTCCTGTGTGATAATATGGTGTGTTTTTTGGCCATTTGCTTTAACTTTTTTGATGGTTGTCCACTTGTTATTTTTGTCTAACTGACTGGAAGACAGCAACAGTCCCCATATGACACAACTACACCCACACCTCCTACAGCTTCACTTACTGAGAGCCACCACTTCCTTCTCCTCCAATGGGCCATTGATAAACAACCACCAAGAAGGGCCTGATGCACCCTTGGCTGCTCTTCACAAAGAGTTAAAAGAGATTGAAATACAGTAACACCACGATGTCTCGGAGACAACAGACTATCACAGTCCACACAAAGAAGCAAGATAAAGTTGTAGAAACAATGGAGCAGGACACAGACCCAGAACACATCCCTGAGGAAGAAGCAGCATTGGAACTCTCTGATAAGGAATTCAAAAGAATGATATTTAGGTATCTTCAAAGGATTGAGAGACAGACCAAAGAAAACACAGA